GAGGGAGTTTATTAGAGGGAATGGGGAATGAAGCCACAACCAGGGAAGGTTAGGACTCAGCCTCCACTGTCCTTGGGGTTGAATTTTATGCTCAAAAATCACAAGGGTTGGAGGCTGGGGGATGTAAGTGTTCTAGTCTGATTAGATGGAGTTTATTGTCCTTCAGACTGATTAGTGCTGGCCGTTGAGGCTGTGGGCTGTAGGTGGCCGTTGTTATAGTTGGCCTGCTGTCTCACCCTCAGGTGCGGCTGCCTCCTGTTGTGCCGGATAGGGTGACCGCAGGCTGTTCCATGAAATGAGGCTGGGGCCACTTTCTCCTTCAGGACTTTCTGGTCTGCCTGAGCCAAATGTCCTCTGCTGGCCTGTCAGGAGGAAGAGGGAGAGCTTGAGAAAGATTGTGATAAATGGCAAAGAAATGCTTAAAGAAGGGCCAGGTGAATCAGTTCTATTCCCTAGGGAAGGCAGTAAAAAAAGGATGAAATCAGAAGTAATTGACTTCAAAAATTGGTTTTAACACCTACCTGGGTATATTAACTTCATGTAATGGAAAACTCTATTTATTGGCCACAGGTTGAACTCTTCGTTTCAGCCAACTATCTCTCAAATGTTATTGGTCATAAGGAAAACCTGACTAGAACATTTGGCTGGCTGATGGCAAATACGTCAGGCACTACCAACAAAACAAAACAGTTAGTGCTTCCCTGCTTTACAATGGTTCATTGGTATTCTCTTATGTTAAGGATTGCACTTTCTGCTAAGATACTTTGTCAGTCCCACAAAACTCAGGGAGAGGTGGGGTGGAGGGGTGAGTGTAGGGTGAGGGACACATCCCTGTTGGAATATACCAAAGGCTGTCTGGAGAAGACCTAGGGCAGGGGTGGGCAACCTTTTTGTGAGTGCGTGCCAAAAGCAGCAAAATCTCTGACTCAAAATTCTTCTGCATGCCAACCCTAATTTTTTGAGAACATGTTACGCCTACTTGATATCTCTTAAGGTGTACGTATGTGAAGAACCTTGAAGAAATAATAAAATTCATTCGAGCGACAAAAACACAGTATATGATGATGAAAAATACATTTATTTTTTAATGTATACATGTACACTGATAGTCCGACAGAAAACTTTATGACTCCGTTTGATATTATCAGTGGGACTTTTGCTGCTGCATCACTGATGACAGAGATTTTACATCAGGTTTATATTTCGTGACCTTCAGAGATATGCACGAGCTACTATCATCCGTCAGGCTACTCCTATTACGAGACTTAACAAAATTCATCACTGAGAACAAAGATTCACAAGCGTATGTGGATGAAACCAAAACACTGGTCGGATCTAGGAAGGCAGGGGAGAGTTAAGGCAGAGGCATAGAAATTGCTCTTCCCCTCTCTCGTCAATCCATGTCTGTGGTCTTTAAGATCACTTGTTATGTAAAATTATTTATCTAAGATGCACCTACACTGAATTTATCTGAAAAATAAAAAAGTCGATAATAAGAAAAAAATTGTAAATGGAAGATTATAAGAGAGGGTTTCGCGTGCCAGCAAAAGTTACTGGCGTGCCATGTTTGGCACGCATGCCAGGGGTTGCCCACCCCTGACCTAGGGTATTTTCTTGTAACAGAAGGCAGAGCAGTGAGTAGGTAATTTGGCACTGTTTAGACCACAATAATGTCATTCAAGATGAGCCTGTAGATTATGAGACTTAAGGAATTTTTTGAAATGGAGTTAGTAGGTTAGCACAATGTAAGGCCTGCCCAGTTAATCTGAAATCACCTGAAGAAGAACGCTTTCAGTTGTTACTTACGATTGAGTAGTAAGAAGCTTGAAATCCGGTGGGAAATGTTTGTTCATCTAAATACTTGGGAAATTTTAAGACATTTAGCAATGGAAAAATCTTTTGAGGAAAGTTTTGGAATTCCCCTTTAAGTAGAAGGCTGAGTAAGGTTTATCAGAGGTGATTTAGCACATCTATAATAGCTTGTCAGGTCCAAAGGACACTATGCGTAATAGTCCCAGGACTTTAAAAATAGTCTGATCCAAATAGGATTTTTATCATTATTTAACATCTATAATAATAAAAGGGTAATATGCTAATTAGACCGGACATCCTTCCCGACAAAGCCGGGGCCAGAGGAAAGCAAGCCCGGGTCCTGGGTGCCAGAGAGAAGCCTGTGTTGGCAGCCGGGGGAAGGAAGGCCTACTCTTACACAAATTTTGTGCATTGGATTTCTAGTTAAGTTTAATAAATACAGATCACACACAAGATGCAAGGGAATACATATTAATGATAGTTCCTATTCTTGAGCTTACATTTTAGTAAGAAATTTCTGTAATTAGAAAAATGAGGATAGTTTAACTTTCCCTCTGTTTTATTCTTTGTCATTTTTTCTTTAATCATTTTTTCTCCTTTGAGGATGATTTATATTTCAAGTTTGCTCTCAGATTTCAGTGAAGCACTGCACATAGGATTTTAGCTGAGCAACAAAGACATGAAGTGACTTCTTGATACTGTTTTCTGGTGTGGGGACAAGCACTCCATCTTGATATGTTTTCTTTATCCTGTTTCTCAGAGATTTTGATTCTTTGGATGAACAAAATGTGGAGAAGAATAACCAACTGGCCTTTGATATTGCTGAAAAGGAACTGGGCATTTCTCCCATCATGACAGGCAAAGAGATGGCCTCGGTGGGGGAGCCTGACAAGCTGTCCATGGTGATGTACCTGACCCAGTTCTACGAGATGTTCAAGGACTCACTCCCCTCCAGTGGTAAGGACTGAGGGCTCTGGTATGGGAGTCTTTCGTGTTCTCTGTTGTTGCCTGGCTTTCTTTCTTTCCCTGTATCCTACATGAGCACCCACAAAAGCAAACTTGTACTTAACTCTGTTTTTACTGGCCAGCTATCAGGGTAAGTCCCTGGGATTTTGCTCCATTGTTTTTTTCCTTCTCAACCACTCATTCTTACCCAAATCTTTCTCACTATATCTATAAATATGTAAAAATCATTCCTATCCAGAATTTTTTTCTTGACTATTATTTTTTCATACTCTTTCTTTCTGATCCAGCCTTTTAAAAATATATATACACTTTTTAAAAAAATTGTTTTCAGAGAGGAAGAGAGAGGGAGAGATAGATAGAAATATCAGTGATGAGAAAGAATTATCTATCGGCTGCCTCCTGCACGCCCCCCACTGGGGATCGAGTCCGAAACCCAGAATCAAACTGTGACCTCCAGGTTCATAGGTCAACACTCAACCACTGAGCCACACTGGCCTGGCTGAATCACCTTTTTTTAAAAAAGTGGGCTACTTCCTCAGTTGCCTAAACTTTGTACACTTTGCAACCTGGCTTCTGCCATTATTCCTCTGCTAGATTGTTCTCCTTGTTCATGAAGAATTGCCAAATCCATGTTTTTCACTTCTTATCTCTTATGCCCTTGGCTTTTTGCATTGTTCAGCACTGTGGAATGACAACTTTTTTTCTGAAACTCTCTTTTCTTTGGCTTCTGTGATCCTGCACTGGACTGGCCTCATTCTCTTCTTTTGGTAACTGTTCCTTCTCTGGCTTCTCTTTCTTCTACATTTTAGTGTTTTCCAAAAATCTTCCTTTCTCCTCAGCCCAATATCTCAGTCTGTCAGCATGCTACAAAAAATATTTCTGTTGTCATTTATTGTCTCTTGGAATCGCATAATGATTAAGAGTGTTGACCTGGGTTTATATCCCAGTACTAACACCTGTTAAACCTTAGGCTAGTTACTCAGTTTTCCTGTGCCTCAGTTTCCCCATCTGTAAAATGGGGCTTTTTCTATGTATAATTAGATTGTGATATGCTAAGAAGAACGTTTGCAAAACGGAAGCACTTAATAAATGTTAACAATATATTATTAGTTTCAATTATTTTTAAAATTACTATTATGCCGAAACCGGTTTGGCTCAGTGGATAGAGCGTCGGCCAGCGGACTGAAGGGTCCCAGGTAGCTTTTTCCGATTAGATACACAGTCTTTACAACAGAAGTCCACAACTCTAACATCAGTGTACACATTCATGGAGAGATGTTTCTCTCTCATCGATGTTTCTGACTCTCTATCTCTCTCCCTTCCTCTCTGGAAAAAATCAATAAAATATATTTAAAAAATAAAATAAAATTACTATTATTACTAATAAAACATTGGAATCCACAGTTTGTGACTCACCAGTGTCTTCCAGCCTATGTACTCTCATAGATGTTTATAGCTTTTTCCGATTAGATACACAGTCTTTACAACAGAAGTCCACAACTCTAACATCAGTGTACACATTCATGGAGAGCCCCCTCAGTGTGCAGCCAAGTGCATGGGGTATGCATACACCAAACCAGTGACCCTGAGCTGCCTGTCCTCCCTCCCTTTCTCTCTGCCCTAAAATTTTATCACAAAGATGAGGCTTCAGCACTCTACTGTAACTCGTATCACGGGTGAATTCCAACTTTTGAGAAGCAAAAGTGGAGGTTTTTGTGACTCGCGTGGATGGGGAAAGAATTGGTATTGTTTATGTTGATGGAAAAAAGAAGGCTCAGTGTATAAACCTAAGAATGCATTTTCTTTGTGAAATGTCCTGCTAAGTTCCTCATACTTTTGTCCGAGCAAATGGACCTTTAGAGCAGTGGTTCTCAACCTTCCTAATGCCTCGACCCTTTAATACAGTTCCTCATGTTGTGGTGACCCCCAACCATAAAATTATTTTCGTTGCTACTTCATAACTGTAATTTTGCTACTGTTATGAATCGTAATATAAATATCTGATATGCAGGATGTATTTTCATTGTTACAAATTGAACATAACTAAAGCATAGTGATTAATCACAAAAACAATATGTAATTATATATGTGTTTTCCGATGGTCTTAGGCGACCCCTGTGAAAGGGTTGTTCGACTCCCAAAGGGGTCGCGACCCACAGGTTGAGAACTGCTGCTTTAGAGCTTTTGGAGGTTCTGGGAGCCACCTGCAGGCAAGGTAGTTCTGGTCAATACTTTGAGGCCCCCCTAATGCTATCGTCGAACATTGCTTTCTGTTCACAGATGCCTTGGACCTGAATGCTGAGGAGAAAGCAGTCCTGATAGCCAGCACCAAATCTCCCATCTCCTTCCTAAGCAAACTTGGGCAGACCATCTCTCGGAAGCGTTCTCCCAAGGTAAGTGGAAAAGATTGTTGTTTTTTACCAGCTGCAAACCCAATGGCAAGATATAGTGACTAGAATAATGCAGTTTGGCTACTCTCTTGGTATAGGATAAGAAGGAAAAGGACTTGGATGGTGCTGGAAAGAGGAGAAAGACCAGTCAATCAGAAGAGGTGAGAATTATATGGGATTTGTTAGAATGATTATACTCAATTGCCCTTTTTGTCTTAAAACCTTAATTTTCAAATTGGTGTTACTAGGTCTTTTTATATTCACCCTTTATGAGAATTTTTGTGAGCAGATGCTTTTTCTGTGGGCTTTTGCCTTTGTTTAATTTTTTGGAGAGCGTCCAAGGGAACACACACACATGTGCACCAGAGCTTTCCTGTCTCTTTGGAATCACACATCTGGCAAAGGGCATTGGCTTTCCTGGGGTATGATAATCCCAGTAAAAGTTTGAGTACCTCTTTGAACTCCATCTTGAGATTAGAACTTTGAAGAGAGCTGTTAAGCTCAACCTAAAGCAGATATACCAGCCATCATGCCAGGTCCTAGCTGTACTTTTCCTTTGAGGGAAGGGCATTTGGGGGCTTCACTAACAGAGGCTGGTTCTTGGGTGTCGATATTGATCAGGAGGAAGTGCCCCGGGTATGCAGAGGAAGATCCACATTAGTGAGCACTCTGCCTGACAGGAGGACTGATGTCACACTCAGCAACCAGAACAAAGTGAAGTACATGGCAACCCAGCTGCTCGCCAAGTTTGAAGAGAATGCACCTCCACAATCCACTGGCATAAGGAGACAGGTAAACCCATTTCACGCCTTGCTCATCCACACTTGATCTGACTACATAGGAAGGAGGTAGCTTTTCAGCTGAATGAGATGGGATATGTTACAGACCCGAGGACTCATGGGCTCGAGACTGGTGTTTGATTCTCCCCATGTCTGACTGTGGCAGAAGAGAACATTTCAGAAGCTCCTCATGCTTTCAGTACTGCTTCATCCTCACCATTCAGGTCTGAGGTATCTGTGACAAAATTCAGCAGAGGGATTTTTAAATTTATATCTATATACGTATTCATATGTATATATTCACATTTAAATTATAAAAAACATACATACTTATTAAGGAAAATGCTTAAAAGTATGATAAAGAGTAATTAAAATATCTCTAAATCTGTTAATATTTTGTTATAGTTCTTTCTGATCTTTTTTTCTTTAGTGCATTCTTGTTTTCATAGTTGAGGTCATTCTATATATATATATATATATGTGTGTACATATATATATATATATCTATATATATATATATATATATATATTTTATTGACTTTTCACAGAGCGGAAGGAGAGGGATAGAGAGTTAGAAACATCAATAAGAGAGGAACATCGATCAGCTGCTGGGGATGTGCCCGCAACCAAGGTACATGCCCTTGGCCGGAATCGAACCTGGGACCTTTCAGTCCGCAGGCCGACACTCTATCCACTGAGCCAAACCGGTTAGGGCTGAGGTCATTTTTAACATACACTTTTCCATTCTGCTTTTTTTCATGTAACTTTGGTCATATTCCCACATCATTTCAAACTCTTTACAAGCACCTTTAGTGTGTGCCATGCTTCTCTTAACTCTCCTCTAGTGCTAGATGTTCAGTCGTTTCTCTTCAACAAACATTGTTATAAACTGCTTTTGTGTGTTGCAGATGACTTTACTAGGTTCTCCTTGAACTAGGTTGAGAATATGAACTCTTTTTTTTTGAGAATATGAACATTTTAAAGATTCTTCATGGATACTGACTTGCATTCCTCTAAGTCATGCCTGAGAGTGCTGGACAGGAGCCTTGTCTCTCCTCCTGCTTATCTAAAAGTCACTAAGACTTCTTGCAAGAGGAGATGCTGAGTTTTTGAAATTTACACTGAAAGTTTCTTGTAAAACTCCCTGGTGATTTGAGAGAGCCCATCCTCTGCATCCTTTCCCTCTTTCTTCATCTTCTCCACATGCATTAATGTGGATAGACTAGGGTGGGCACTGACATACTGACTGTGCTTGGAGTCTGGTCTTAATCAACTTCTCACATCTAGCCATTGGTTATGGCTCACAGAGAAGATGATGATATTCATTCCCTGTTGGCTCTGGCAGCCCAGGTCCCACCACCTTGGGAAGGCTGGAATTATTCTCCATTAGAGGAAGTTTGCCTCTAAGAGATAGTTGCTTCCTCATTTTGAGTGAAAGATTAGTTTTCCAAATCAGAATTAGTAGTTTAGGCTCATAACATTGAGTTGGGGAAAAGGATAATGATAATTACAGCTTCTGTTTTTCTTTTTTTTATTTGTTTACATTTGCTTTTGGTTTGGGGAGCAGGGTATTTGCTTCCTTTATAAGCAAAGCTTTCTAAGAATTCTATGTCTTCACCACCACCCCAGTATATAGATGTATGTCTATCCTCCACAAGTATCTTTTTTCTGTCTTCTACTTTAATATATTTTATTTTGTTTTGTCTCCATGTCCTGTCCCCCACCCATACTTGGCCTGTGTGTCACAGCCAACACAAGAGCGTGGGGTCAGCCAGCCGTCCTGCTGCCTACCTGAGCAGGGTCTCCCTGCTCCCACCCCACAGTGGAAACAGGTAAAGGAACTGCTCAAAAACCAGAATGGGTGCTGCATCCCCAGGCCTTCCCACCCTGTTCCTTCTTCTGAGCCAGCCAAGGTAGAGGCCTGCACTCTAGAATCCCAGCTCAAGCATAGGACATCTCTGTGCCCATTTGAGTAATGACTCTAGTAAAAGTATAATAAACAGTACTGTTTGTATTGCATGATTTATTTAACTCCTTAGGATTTGAGAAACCAGTTAGCAGGGTGGGCTGTGAATTTTATGAAACTAGCTGAAGCTATGTGGTTAATTGTTCAGGTACCCTAACCTTTGGGGTTTTGCTATTACAGCGTTTATTCCAAGTTGACTTCTTGTTCATATGTGTGCTTATGACCATGTTAATAGGAAAATGTTATCCAAGAAATCATCTTGAACTATAATTTTTATTTGGTTCAGAACCTAGACAAAGATTCTTGTTATAAAGCTGCTTTTGTGTGTTGTAGATGACTTTCCTAGGCTCTCCTTGAACTAGGTCGAGAAAAATGGGCATTTTCTTGGTGTTTTGTATACATTTAAAATACTCTTTTTAGAAATTTTCACTAAAGTAGTTAGTTGTAGGATCTCCTAGAAAGCTGCTTCTCATAAGCAGTACAGAATAGGACAGAAAGAGGAGGAATGGCACTGGTTGATAATAGGAAACATCAAAGGAACTGGAGGCCTGTACTGTACCTCCTCCACATCACAGCTGACAAGTTTTTGCTCCAGTGAGTGCACTGGACTTGTCTTGTGGGTTGGTATCATTTAAGACTAAGATTCTGAGAGGTCAAAGGAATAGGCCTTCAATTCCTTCTTATGTTATAGAGTGACAGCTATTGCTGGGAAGCACTGACAAGTGACTGGGTGGGTAATGTTTTTTTCTAACCTTTCTTTTAATAATATGCTGCATTAAAAGCAAGCTCATGAGGCTGAGATGGAAGCTTGGGAACAATGTCCAAACTCATGAAGCCAAGCTGCCTCTTTCCCTCTGCTTGGGGGAGATTTGTGCAGGAGTGCTCATTAGAAATTTACCATTTTCTTTCCTCACCCTTTCCTTAAAGTCTAGGTGGAAGGTATAATAAAAAGGTAATCTTCAGTTGAGGATCTGCAGAAGGGGAACATGAACTCTAACTAGACTTCCTGAACTTCAGATTCTCACAGTACTCACAAAGGCAGCAGAGAGGAAGAGCAGGGAGGAAAGGAGGGTAACTTAAATACATGCAGAGGGGTGAATAAATGACTCAATGGCATGTGTTTGGGTCACTGTGGGTGAGCTTGCGAGGAAGTCTCAGGGGCAGGATGTGTGACCCGAGGAACCTGCCCCAGCTGAGGCCTCTGTCCTGGTGAAGACTGGCACATCAGCTCACTGCCTGATGCAGCTATCCTGAGGGATATCAGGAGCTTAGTGTTTATGAGCTTTCTTGTGTTTTTCATGTTTGTGAAGGATCTGGCCCCTCTAGCCTCATGCACAGTGCTACATGGAGACGAACAGCTAGCTTGTCACCTGGGTAAATAGTTGGTCAAAATTAGTGACGTAGAATACTGCTGAGCTGTGCAGGCAGCAGACTAGAGCCATTAAATTCAAACATGGGTTCTGTGGAGTGGGTCCCAGAGATGACAGTTAGAAAGAGCACCTGGGTGAAAAAGTGAGAAACTATGAGCAATGAAAATCCTGTGAGATCCTGTGTGCTTCATGTTATATAGAGTTGGGAATTGTAAATTTACTTGGCTGTGAAAGAACTATAATTCACAGTTCTTACATCCATGTGAAATGTATTGTATTCACATCTAATTTTTTTCTCAACACTAAAGCAGGAATGTTTTCATGAATCTTGGCCTTGTAATTTCTCTCTAAAAAGATAAAACATTGGAAGGCAATGCCAGATGCTACAGAAACCTGGGGACAGAGGGACTCCAGTGGTGCATTGGGGCCCTCTGCTTCTGACTCACCCTGACTGCTGACCTCATTTAACACCCTTTAGGAATTGGGCAGGGGCTGACTGGCAGCACCTTATCATGACTCACTTTGTGCTTCTCTTGAAGTGATTCAAGAGAGGCAGGAGGGTATGGCAAGCACAGTAGTGATGGCTGAGTTGGCACCAGGGCCAGTTTTTACTTAGGTCATAGTATGAGAGGGAAATGAATAATAATGCTGCTTACCAGTGACTTCTGTTTTTTACCTTCCTGTGTAAACACTTTGGCTCTTCCCTCTCCACCCTTTTGTCTTTTGATCTCAGAAGTGCATCCTACAGGCAAACTCCTCATTATCCAGCCTTAGTTGACAAGAAGGTTGTCATGAGAAGTGGGAACAGACAGGGGAACTGCTTCCCTAGTCCCACCAGTTCTCTCAGAACTGTGTGCTGGCCCCACATAGTCTTTCTGGGCTCAAGGAAGCGAGGATTCCTCTGACCTAGGAGTATGTGATTATTTACTAAGTCCTGCAGGGTTCTCTCAATCATAGTTTCTCAAGGAAAAAGATGGGACAAGATTGGAGAGGGATAAGATGGGGAGATAATCTGTAGACATAGGTATGGTTTTCAGGTAGTGGAAGATATTTAATTTTTATATCCTATTTCCTGTACTTTCTTGCATTTTTTTTTTTGGTAGTTTTCCAGAACCTTTTGAGTATGAGGGGACTCAGAAGAGGAAATAATGGCAGGATTTTCTCATAGTTGGTCCCGAGGGAGAGTGCTGCTCTGCTCCTGTTGGGTGGCAGGTGATAAGCCATTGGAAGGGTCTGCATGACTCCCTTCTGATGGTGGCCTGTGTGCCCTTTCTCTCTACTTATAACGAAACTCATTTCTTCAGTCCTCCAACTTTGATGATATATAGTCTTGATCCCTGGTGTTTAGAAAATACTACACTGCAAGTCTGTCCCCAAGACCAGCTGCACCTAACAAACAGCGGGAGTCTGACCTGGAGACCAGTGACAAACTGTGACACGCCACCCTCCCTGACCATGCAGTGATTTGCTGTTGAGGATGGAGGGGCAGGGAAGGGGGCCTCTGATATGTTTTTTACAAATACCCTTTCATCCTTCCAGAACCAGCCTAAATGTGGCCACTGTTTTACCAATCTTCTCTCTGTTTGTGTCTGTTGGTATAAAAGCGACGGGAAAAGGAGCATTCTCGGACCTGCCCCAAAAAAGTGATTGCACTCTCTCCACCCCCTACTCCACCTC